CGGACGGGGTTTCCGCCGTCCGGCGGGCCTGCGCCGCCTGGACCCGCGACGACGCGCCCGTTGCGTGGACCGCTATGCGGCTGGCCCTCGCGCACCTCGCGTAGGAGTAAGCGCCCCCAGTCCCGAACGGCATCGCCGCATCCGAGATACTTGGTCCCGCTCAACCCACTGTGCGCCTCGTAAAACGGATCGACCAAATTCGATTCGGGGATGATAAAACAGCGAAGGGGGGCGTAGGGAAGCGTCACGGGAGGACACGACTAGGGCGGAGGCGTACGCGAGCACGGCGACGAAGAGGGCACGACGACGTAGGGCGGCTACTGCTCGTAGGCGACGCCGAAGGTCCCGCCGGTGCCGCGGGCCGCGCGGGCGTAGGCCGCGTCGCGGGCCCGCTTCGCGGCCGCGTCCCGGCCGTAGTCGGGCCGCGGGATCGACGACGGGGCGCCGATGAGGCCGAGGCCTTCGATCTTGATCCGCGCGACCGCGCGCACGGAGGCGACGCCCCACTCGCGGTAGAGCCGCTGCTTCTGGATCGACTTCGCGTGGTCGAGGCTCGTGGCGCCGGCCTCGACCCAGGTCCGCTCCGCGATCTCCTCGGCGGCCATGGCCAGGACCTCGTGGGCGCCCTTGCTCAGCTCGCCGAAGTAGCCCGCCACGAAGCCGACGACGGAGCCGAAGGATCCGAGGCGGCGCTCGAAGGGACCCGGCGAAGCCTCGTCCGGGTAGAACTTCTTGTCGAGCTTCTCGGCGTGCAGGCGGTACTCGCGGTTGATGATGCCCGCGCGCTCGTCGCACGGCAAGGTGCCGCCTCTGCGGGCGGGCGACCGGCCGTAGCGCGACTTGGCGAAGCCGATGGTCTTGACGTCGGCGAGCTGCGCGGCGCGGCCGCCCGGCACGAGCTTGAAGTCCGGGACGATGCCGGCCTTATCCCGGGCCCCCTTGCCCGCGTGCTGCTCGAAGAAGGACGTGGCCGCGTCGGCGGGCACCAGGTCCGCGAAGACGCCGAGGACCTCCCGGTCGTAGGACACGCGCGCCTCGCGGAGCGCAGAGAGGAGTCTTTAAGCGGCTAGCAGCCTACTAGGGGTGACTCCTCGCCAAACGCACCAGCTCTCTCCCTTCCCTGGCATGAGCACGTCCACGAAGAAGCAGCCAGCTGGGGACCGAGGCCTCCCTCGGCGGACCATGCACCTCACAAGGCGCGCAATGGTCCAATGCTGATGCGAGCCTGCGGATTCGAACTCGGCCAAGAGCCCTACACCGCAGCCGCGCTTTCCGCGGGGCTAGACTGTACCTTGAACCGGCCGCCAAAGCAGCCGGCCCGCCTCCGTGCAGTCGTTACACGCCGCTGGATTGAACTGGTCCAACGACGCTCGGGATTCCCGCCCCGCCAGCTGCCCCATGCTCCTCCGGCACAGTCAATGGCAGCGACAGGTTCTGGTCGACGGTGGTCACCGTCGGCCGGCGGCTTCCCCCGAACAGGAGGCGTCGCTGCGCGTGGTCGAAGGCGACCGCTTCGCCCGCTAGCCTTCGCGGCACCGCCTGGCCGGCTAGCCGCGTCGGCCTGCGCGGGCGTCGCTGCGTCATCACCGCGCTTCGTCCCTATTCCAGGCAGGCCGCGAAGCCCGCCCGTCTCGGGCGTCCGCGCGGCTCCCTCGGCGTTTCACAAGTGACCACGCGGAACTCGGAGCGAGCGGAGGAGCGCCGACCTGCCCGGTGTGACGCAGCTCGCCCCCGGCCCAAAACGCGCGCGAGATCCCACTCTCGCGCGAGTCGCGCAGGACGCCGGACAGCCGTCCTCTTCGCGCCGGCTAGCCGGCGCGGCGCTGGCCGCGGTGGCGCGCGCTCCTTGCGGAGTACGCGCCGACGCGCGGCCGGCCGCCGTCGGCCACGTGCCGGTACCTACACGCGGGCCAACTGCAGCCTCCATTGTTGAAATCCCGGCAGATCGGCGTGTCGTCCTCGTCGTCGTTGTCGTCGTCGTCGTCGTCGCGTCGTCGTCGTCGTCGCTTCCGTCGTGCGTCGTGCTTCCGGTGCTTGGTGCCGAGCCGCGCGGCGTCTTTGAGCCGCGCGTTCTCGGCCTTCACGCGGTCGAGCTCGTCCTGTAGGTCGTCCCTGTCCTGCTTCCGTCGCTTCCTCTTCTTCTGGTTCCTCGTCAGCTTCGTCGTCGTCGTCGTCTCGTCCGTCCGCCCGCGGCCGGTCCGCAGCGGCGCCATGTCGATGTTGAGCCTCGTGAGCGTGTAGTTGAACTTGTCGTAGGGCATGGACGCCTCGTCCTTGAGCGTCCCGAAGCGCAGCGTCGCCCCGACGGCGATGCGGCGCTCCTGGCCCGCGGCGAGGCGCTCGCCGCCGAGCCAGAGCCCGGCGGCGGTCTTGCCGTCGGACATGGTGTGCGTCGCCACGTACGCCACGTCCATCCCGTCCTCCAGCGCCACGCGCAGCGTCGCGTGGCTCGCCGACACGAACGGGCGCAGCGTCGTCGTCGCCGTCCGCTCCATGTCGACGAGAAGGATGTCCGCCGGCGGCTCGCGGCCGACGACGACCGTCGACTCGGCCACCAGCTCCACCGGCTCCGTCGACGCCGCCGCGGCCGCCGCCGTCGGCCGCAGCACGAAGGCGATGCGCGGCGGCGCGTCCGCCCCAGCCTCGTCGACGCACGGCGGCTGCGTGAGCACGAAGCCCTCGCCGCCGTCGCGCTCCGGCGACACCGGGGGCTGCGTCAACCCCTCCATCGGAAAATGAACGATTTTGCCTCTGTGAATATCACGGATGCTTCACCGCGCGCGCTCGACGCGCTCCGACCCCTGCCCGCCGGCCGCGCTCGACTTGCTGCGATCCGCGTGCACCGCGGGAGCGGGCATCACGACTCGCCAGCCGGGGCACGCGTGCGGCGGTGCACGATGGCGCGGCCGGGCTCGAAGGCGAGCGTGAGGTGGTTGAGGCCCGGGCGTGTGGGGTCGAGCCGCCACGCGAGCGCGCAGGCGTAGTACGTGCAGAACGTCGTGAAGCGACTCGTCGCCGGGAGCGACGGCGACGG